CAAATTCACTCAACAGCTTTTCATTTGTCTAAACTTATGAAGAATATCTTTAAAAATCATGAAAAATTCTTTACATGCCACATGTATTCATTCATCTGTCATTTCAATTTTTCTAGAAACCACCAAAGACATATGTATGCCTCATCTTTAGTTCTCTCCAATTTTTTGTATATGTTAATCATGTTTTAATTGATATCATTAGATACTTCACTTAAACTTATATCTAGGTATCTGATAAATTTCTGATAATTCTCTTCCTATATAATAATGACTCTTGGAGAATTATTTAGAAAGTAACTGTCAATTTTAATGTTATCAATTCTGTACAGTGAATAAGTGCTAAGTATTTGATACATGAATTCATCATTAGATATTGTAGAGTCCATGTACAATTTTCTTGTAAAGTCAACAATAATTACTTTATTTACTATTTATTTATACTCTATACTTTGCTTGGCAATTATTCTAAGCAAAAACCACACTGGCCACATTGCAATCCTTATGAAGTCATATCAACTTCAGCTAGCTCTTCAAACAAATATACTACATTAAAATGTTATCTACTTAATTTTTTTTTACTTTAATTATGCCTCTGCACAATACTAATCTTTAACTTTATGATAATATTGTCCATCACCTTGAAAATTAAGCTTGCCAATTCCCAAAGAGTCGATTTTAGGAGTTTTATTATGGAAGTAAAAAGTTGAGAGATTTAACATCTTTTTATGCTCACTAATATCAAAATGCTGTTGGCTATTCTTTAGTCTGCTTTAATATATATATTCCAAAAAGTTGATCGTTGTGTTGAGTAAATGTTGGAAGAATAGGCCTCAATTTGGATATTACAGAATTTAAACATTTTTACCAAATTCTGAGATCTCATGATGAGTCCAGAATAGTTGGCAGCTATTTTGAAAATTTGACATGAAACAAAGACAGCAGATCTTAAATTTTGAATTAGCAAAACATGATCTCAAAACTACTTTGACTTACAAAAACACAGAAATGCATTGAATCTGTGTAAGAGTTAAATTGAGACAAAAATAAAATTCAAGTTAGTAAGAATTTCAAGTTAAGAACATTCAACTTATGAAGAGTCTATTGTATTAAGTTAACTTATTTCCTCAAATATCTTAAAATTCTTTAATAACTTACTTGTTGCCAAAAAACTGAACACAGAAAAATTGTTAAAAAAAACTTTTTTTTTTGTAAATTTGAATTCTGATTCAGGAATAGTATGTTTCAATAACTAAGCCGTCATATTAACTGAATCCAATATAATACCGGAATCCAAAAGATGTTCCAAAAATATTCACTTTCAATTTTCTATTCTGACTTCATAAAAAGGAAACCTTTTATTACATTTCAAGCCTATACAACAAGAATTTAAACTCATTTAACAAAATAAAGAATATTGCATAAATTAATATCATTGATTCAGTATATACTGACTTACTAATAACTAAACAAAATTATGATTTTCATAAACAGATGTAAACTTCAGATTTTGCATTCAAATCATGGAATATAAAAAAGAGCAAAACAATATCTGTGGCTTGGAAGAATAAGGGCATTAACCCCTGAAAGTGGTCCTTATTCTTCCAAGCCACAGATATAATATAAACCGTAGCCTAATTTTATATTTAAAAACAGGCTAATATTAAGCTAATTATTGATTAATTAAACTATGGAATTTGATCTAGAAACAGGCTGTTAAACCTCTATCCTACACACAGATTAATAATTAGAAATTAATTTTCAGTGTTAAATAATTTAGAAAATTTTGGATGAAAAGATCAATCTAGAGTAGGACTTGACTCTGTGACTTCTGCCTATTGTGCAGATATGTAACCAGTACATATACTTTCTCCATTCTTTGCTTCCAGATCTAGATTGTTAATCACATAACATTACAAATTAACTACTTTAATTAGTTTAATTAATGAATAATTAATTTAATTCTAGCTCATAAATAATCTAGTTGTCAAATATATTTGGCTAGAAAAAAACAAACTGATTGTTCAATTAGCCAAATAACAGCATATTTCAAAATTAATAAATTTAAAATGAATGCATAATTTATATAGCTGCTTCTAATGAATTAAATAATTATCTCAAACTACTAATTGATGAAGATATATGAAGCTTATCAAACCATTTTGGAGCTTAGAAAAGATCACATGAAAAACACTCCAATACAGTTTGATAAACCTTGTACATTGCCACTAATTGGTAGTTTGAGATAATTATTTAATTGAATGAATAATTGTTTACAATTTGTTCTCATTATGACTCAATCTGTAAACTGATATAACTTAACTACCACCATATTATTTATACAGTGTAAAAAAGAGATCTGTGAATGTCTAGTAGTTGATACTGGAGTAACTAGATTATTAAGGAAATTAACTGGGATTGAATTTTAGAGGTAACTGGTTTCTGCCAATAATAGTTTGTGATAGACTGAAGTTTAGCCATCCTCATACAGACTGGATAAAATTGGAATTGTCATGAGACTGTTACTTTTTCTCTGGATAAGCCATGAATAGGGAGGACCTTAAACCCTTTCTCCTCAATGTGTCTTTATGATATGCTTGAAGAAACATCTTTATATTTACTTTCATGCTTTAAAAGGATTCCTTTACCTTTATAGTATAAAAAGAAATTACTTATTAAATTTAAATTTAATATGATTTTTTCGTTCATTAAATTGCATTTCACAACTACAGATTCTTCATAATGAGAATTTTTTTATGTAACTAAATTAAAAGATTTATATATATTCTATCATAAATATATTAATTATGCTAAAGCAATAATAATCATAATTGTAATAAAATTAGCTGAAAACTAGAAATAACTTGTTATAATTGTTAAAGAAATTCACAGTAGAGCAAGCTGTTAAAAGATGAAAATGTAAATTCAAGTAGTTAGTTCAGTTAGTCCAAGAATCTGTTAGTTCTTATGATGAAAAACCTAGAAGAAAAAGTACAGTTAGTGCTCACTGGCTCTCCTTTTGCCCCGACTGGTCCACGAAATCCAGGAAGTCCAGGTACACCTATGAATCCTCTCTCTCCTCTATCACCCTAGTATACATGAAATAATTAAAGCATAAAAAACATTTCATTAATTTTAATAATTCTTTCCAAATTTATAAGAAAATAAATTTTTCCTATAAACTGAAAGAATTATTAAAATTCTTTATTAAAAAATTATAGTTCTTTCCATAAAAGTTTTAATATTTTTATATATAAGAATATAGCGTAAAAAACCATTATTTAATCTTTAAATAGTTTTCCCCCCATAAAAAATTTTAGTAATTTCAATCCAAACTTAAAAATATTATAAATTATATATGTAAAAGTTTTTAACAAATAAAAATTTACATATATAATTTAAAATATGAGAATTTATAGTTCTGTTCTATCTGACATAATATTCTACATCGCATTCATGAACATTCTTATTCACAAATGGAGCAGAAGCCATTCTTTTAAAAGAACAAAAAGTAAATAATTTTGGTATCATGAAGTAGCATTATTATGGTGCTAAGTTCTCAAGAAAATTTTAATTGCTTAGTTTTTGTTTTTTANATCAAATTTTGTTATAATTTTTTTAAAACCCATTATAAATTTTCTTATATAGCCTATATTATGCTAGCCATGATGCATCACACTGAATCATTGTGCATTAACTGAATCTTCTAGTATAGTATAGTATATATTGTAAATCTCACTATAGCAAATCCCACACTAAATAAAGTTACTAAAAGATATTCCTATATGTTTCAATTTGAAATTTAAATTAGTGAATATTTAAAAGCTGAATTAAGTAAATTGTAAATGTATCTTTAGAAGACTGAGTTGGAAAATGTAGAGTTGACTTATTTATATTTATATCCAAACTCTATGGACCTTTTTTATTTATGCTATATTTAAATTAATAGAATAAGCAATAGGATATTTTTATTAATTTGCTAATTTTCTGATAACTAACTTGTCTCATTTTCTCTGATCATTTCTTAACAGAAACACATATCCAATGTAATAAGTATATAATACATATAAGCCAAATCAAATTCTATAGTTAATCAAGGACATAAATTTTCAGATTACATATTTAATTTAATTAAAAATCTTAATTGAGTATAAAAATACATAATTAGGCCATCATTTTGTGCTAAGATTAATAATTAGAATTAACAGCTTTCATTAATATGTATATGTGAAGCAGATGATGTTTCTTCTGTTTAATTTTCTTAAAAATATTATAAATTATATATGTAAAAGTTTTTAACAAATAAAAATTTACATATATAATTTAAAATATGAGAATTTATAGTTCTGTTCTATCTGACATAATATTCTACATCACATTCATGAACATTCTTATTCACAAATGGAGCAGAAGCCATTCTTTTAAAAGAACAAAAAGTAAATAATTTTGGTATCATGAAGTAGCATTATTATGGTGCTAAGTTCTCAAGAAAATTTTAATTGCTTAGTTTTTGTTTTTTAATTAAACATTGCCTTTATTAAAACTAAAATATTATGACTTAAAACTATTAGAAAATTAAAATATGGGATGTGTCAAAAATCAGTTAACACACTATATTTTAAGAATGAATAAAACTGCTTTGAAATAGCTGTATGTTATCATTTATGATTCACTCAATTTATTGAAAGCAACTGAATTTTGAACAATATGCAGTCACTCCAAACTGTTCTGTTGTTTTAAGTGTTCTTAAAATATACTTCAATTAAATGACTTTTGGGTCATCCTGTTTATATATTTATAAAATTAGAAAGACTATTTTATAGTTGTACTTCAGCCTTAGTTTTTTGAAATATTATATATAAAAGCAACTTTAACCTTTACAAATATATGTTTCTACATAAAACATACATGTATATTAATCATTTAAAAGATATTCTAGATATTTTTGCAATTTAATAAACTTAAAAGATCTGAGTTTTGAAATAAAAAAAATTAATTCTTACTTTAGGTCCTGGCATTCCATCCTTTCCTACTGGGCCCTACAATATAAAAAATGCAATTTTAGTTTCTGAAGGAAATTAATTAATTATATATACAGAAAACATTAAAAATTCCAATTCTGATACAAATTTCCATACTAAATAATCATTGTATGTAATTAATACAAGGGTAAATCAAAAAGTAACACATCTAAATTTTTTGTAGACAGAAGTTGATTTTATTTGAAATTAGTGAATATATAAAGTGAAGTATGCTTAGTAGTTTATTTTTCCATGTGGGAATCATGCCAGTTCAAGCATTTGTCTCAATGTGTAACAAGATTAAACATTCTGGATCTGTAGAATAATGTTTCTTGCAAATGGAGTCAGTTTTTGAACAGCTGCTTTGACATTTTGTCCAGAGTGATAATGATTTTAATGAATTGTCTCTCTTCTCAGTGACATAATTTCAAATGATCTCAAAATGGCATCATCCTGATGGTAGTTTGCATTTCTGTCATTGACTGGGCACTCAGTGAATGCTGACTTTCTGTACCCAAGATTTCCATGCACAATGCCATACAATGTACCAAAAGAAATGTCAAACTGTTTGGACTTGATCTTCAGGTGAATAAGATGGGGTTTTTTTTGCAACGACACCTCCATGCAGCAGTAGGCTTTCTGGACTTTTTCTGGAGTAATGGTGCTTAATGGGCACTCAAAATGAGGCTTATCCATCAGAGATTGACAACTTTATGCAAATATTTTGTACCATCTTTGAATGTTGGAGATGTCTACACAATCCTCAATATGTAAGCCTTACATTTTCTTACTCATTACCACAAAAACAAAATCACATTCCTTTGCTCTTTTACTTTTTTTTTTATATGGACTCAGTGAATGCTATTTTCTTTTCTTCACTCAGACATCAGCTGTTCAAAGGTTTAATAGTGTAGCCAGAATACTCTTGCTTCAGGCCATTCACTTTTTGTAATGAAGAACAATACCAAAAAATTATTATTAATAAAAAGGCATTACTTTTTGATTTTCTATTGTATTTAAGAATACCCAGTTAATCTGCTTAATACATTCCAGAAAATCACTGCACTAATTGAATCCAAACTAATCAGAAAACATATTTAATAAAAGAAAAATTTGTTTGAAAAGGATTTTTTTCACTCAAAAAGTAATTTAAACTGACTTAATAAAATAATACTATTCATAAAAACCTACAAGAGGATAAAAAAAAAGTCATTAAATCTAAACTTCTATTATTTTATTTTGTAACTAAATTTTAAAAAATGTTTTCTGTTAAAAGAGAAAAAATTATCTGATGTTATTTGGACTCATCTCCCTTCTTTTTTGTTTGCAGCTCTCAGTCACACCAAACCATATTTTCTAACACACTTGAGTTAATGTTACATTATTTGTTTGGATTATTATTCAAAAGCTGAACTCTTTCAAATATACATGAAAAAATCCAAATTGTATTGAACTAAAAGAAAACAAGTAGGCAATGGGGGGGTGAATGGCTGGACTAAGTGCTGCTAACCATTTTTCCAAATTTTTCTTAATCTAAATTGGCAGCATTGTAAGGTACAGTTTTTTTTTTTTTTTGCTTTAAAGTTTTCAATAACTAGATAAGTTTTTGCATGTAAATATGAATTTCTCTGTATTTTTCTAAAAGGTTTTAAAATTTGTTTTAGTAGAAGTTACATAAGACAGTTAATAATGAATTTAAAATGTTTTGATCCACTTTTTATCATTTACTTACATTTATATCAAATTTTGTTATAATTTTTTTAAAACCCATTATAAATTTTCTTATATAGCCTATATTATGCTAGCCATGATGCATCACACTGAATCATTGTGCATTAACTGAATCTTCTAGTATAGTATAGTATATATTGTAAATCTCACTATAGCAAATCCCACACTAAATAAAGTTACTAAAAGATATTCCTATATGTTTCAATTTGAAATTTAAATTAGTGAATATTTAAAAGCTGAATTAAGTAAATTGTAAATGTATCTTTAGAAGACTGAGTTGGAAAATGTAGAGTTGACTTATTTATATTTATATCCAAACTCTATGGACCTTTTTTATTTATGCTATATTTAAATTAATAGAATAAGCAATAGGATATTTTTATTAATTTGCTAATTTTCTGATAACTAACTTGTCTCATTTTCTCTGATCATTTCTTAACAGAAACACATATCCAATGTAATAAGTATATAATACATATAAGCCAAATCAAATTCTATAGTTAATCAAGGACATAAATTTTCAGATTACATATTTAATTTAATTAAAAATCTTAATTGAGTATAAAAATACATAATTAGGCCATCATTTTGTGCTAAGATTAATAATTAGAATTAATTTTGAAATTCAGTTTAATCATTTAAAAAATTAAGATGAAAAGACTGGCACAGAATAGAGAATGTAATAAGAATAAACAATATAATTTATATTTTGCTGTCAACTTTTCTGTACTGAATAATAATAATGATAAAATAAAATAAATTAAACAAAAATATATAATAATATTCAATAATAAGTCTCTCATTTTAAATAATTTATAGTACTTTCAGGCTTTCTCAGATAGACCTGATAAAATGAGGATGCTTAAAAATACTAGGGATTATTTATAGTTTTTTGTATTCCAATACAGCAAAAACTAGTGTAAGTGTCATATAATAATATCTATGAAGTAGTATCCAAAAGTTCTGGAACTGGATCCATAAGTCTAAAAGTTATTAGTGGTACAATACTGAAATATATTCTCTTTCAAAATAAGTCTCCTTGTAATAATATACATCTGCCAGCAATGTAAAAGTCATGGTAGCACTTCTGGAATCCTTTCTTTGAGATGTCCTTCGATTCAACCAGCATTACCCTCTTCACTTCACCTGCACTCAAAAATCAATAACCCTGAAGTCAATGTGCCAGCTCAGGAAACGAGTGGTATAATCAAAGTAACCTTCAAAATGTTTTCATCAACAAATTATTTCAACAGTCTTTCCTCTGTAACAAAAAAGAACTAAAGATAGTACCTCCAATACCGTTTTTGGGCCCTATATTGCTAAAAAATAACACGCCTTTTAGAAAGCATGGCTTTACTTTGCCCATAACCCCACAACCAACACTAAGAAGAGTGTTATGCAATGATAGAGATACTCTTACGTTAAATGAAAAATCAGAGGTCTACAAAATTCCGTTAAAGGTCCAAATAAATGAAAATCTGAGGGGGCTAAATCTGGACTAAACAGAGGATGTTGCAGGACCTCCCAATTCTGCTGTGTCAACCATAGTTTGGTTTTATTTGATGTGTGAAATATAGTGCAGATTTAGCCCCCTCAGATTTTCATTTATTTAGACCTTTAAAGAAATTTTTGGCAGGGAAACGCTTTGCAGATCAGGAGGAATTGGAAGACACCATCAGGACTACATCAAGCAACTTGACAAGCAACAGTACTGTGAAGAGATGTTCAAACTAGTGTCACGCTGGGATAAATGTCTCAATGTTTATGGTGATTATGTTGAGAAATAAACAAAAGTATGTAGTTTTTGTGGAATGTATTAAATATTTTCTTTAATTATAAATGTTAGTGTAATTTTGGCCTGTACCTTTAATATTAGATTTCCCTCATATAAAGAAAAAGAGAAAACCTAGTCATCCTAGGATTAGATGAATTAACTGCATACAAAATATTGCAGAATTATAGATGTTTAGAGAACTTTTTTACAGCAGTGAACAACAAAGCACACAGGAGATCAATTGTATCTGGAAGACTCAATTTGTGATGAGTGAATGAGAGAGAGAAAGAGAAACCATTTTAATTTTATTAAAAATTAAAATATTCAAATTTAATTTTTGGGCTGCAATTTGAAAAAAATTGTAGACCTATAAATTTCCACTGTTGTCCATCTGTTTGTCCTTAATCTCAATAGATAGATAGATGAAAGTCAAGTCAAGATATGGGAAACTTAGGGTCAGGAGGCCCCAATTAACTATATATGAACTTACGGTATAGACCGAAAGTCACTGATTTGAATTCAAAAAATTCTCCAGAATGGAGTTACATAGATGACTGGCATGACTATTGTTGTCAGGAAAAGTATGATATACAGGGACAAGACACTACTAATTTGAAGTGGAGAGCATGTATTTTAAATTACATAAATTAAAAATGGTTAAAAATTGCAGCCTAGCATTGTGATGATGTCACAATAATTTTTGCTTGTTTGTATTAGTTTTTTCTTGTCAGAAATAAAATTTTGCCTTTTTATTAAATCCTTTTCTTTCTTTACTTTTTATTATAATAAGAAAACTACAAACAAAAAGCTCAAAAATATAAGAAATAGACACATTTATGTACATATTATCCTGAATTCTTAAAACATTTATATTTTATTATTGTTTTACTCAGATTTAGTATTGTGTTAATAGAGTGAAAGATTAAGTAAAAAATTTTTGTCTTTATTTTAAAAATTTTTAATAAAAAAACTTTACAATGTTTTTCTTTACAATGTAAAAAATTTTTATGGAATCCATAGTCAAGAAACTTTTACCCGATTTACATAAATATAGGTGGGGAAAGTAGCCTATAAAGAAAGGTTAACTCTACCAGTGTCGATCACGTTCCTGTGATGATGAAAGAGGATGACAAAGAAGACAACAAGAATAATTTATTCATATCAGTCTTTAATATTTTGTATTTTTACAATATATTTTATATTAAAAAATCTTTACTCATAAATGGACTATATAAAAACATATTCTGTTTGTATATTTTGTCTTGAAAAATTTTCTGAAATTTTCTGAATTCTGGTTATTTGAAAAATAATTACTTATAGATTTCTAAGAGATTTTTAAAGTTTTTAATATTTTATATGCTACACACAGTCAACACAATCATTAGTGTAGTTTGCAGGGTTTAAGATATGATAAAAACTCTCTCTACTTTTTAAACAAAAGTTTTATTTGAAGAGAAATTTGTAATTCTGAAATGCATCACTTGTGCTGGCATAACAATTGATTTTTTAAAGGTTAGACTTATCTGTTTACTCTTGCTAAATTGCAAAGGAGAAAAAAGAAAACTTTTGATATTCTTTCCATAAGAAGTTTAGTCAAAATATTCCACAAAAAAACCAACCAAGAAAACTACTTTTTTGTTAAATTTTTCTTCTCAAAATAAATATCCTTGGAATGATAAATGTTAAAATACATTAATCTATCACAAATACAGTTACAAATTTCAAAAGTTTTCAAAAGAAATTTAAATACAGATTCAATTTTAAAGATAATCAATATAATATGAAGTGATTTATCATCATCAGTGTTACTTGATCCATTGTTGAATATTGTTATCAACTATATTTTGGAACTTTTTTATTAGAATATTATATAAGAATTTATTTATATTAGAATTTTCTACTTTTATCTAAGAGAATTTTTCTATTGTTTTATTTGTTTTTTGTTTGTATCATTTTAATATACTTTTTGTACGTTTCTTCATTTGTTAGGCTTTTACTCATCTTTTATTTATGCATATAGTATCAGTATCAATTTCAAACTTCATTTAGAAAAAAAAACAGATACAAAATGTAATATTTAACAATAAAATTTTTTAAAATTATTTTTTATCCCATTATATTCAAAATAAGATAATAAATTTCTATAATTTGATATGAGTTAAACTGAAAGAAAATATTGAATATGATTTTAATGATAAAAACTATGCATATAAAAATAAATATGAGAATACTATTTTTTTCATTTTTTTATATTTAAGAAATGTGTCAAATTATCATTGTTTAAAATTATTCTGTTATTCATTCACAGTGACTACACAATGATTAAAAATCATTATAGTTGGCTTGTTACTTTCCTCATCAACTATTTCATTTTCTTTCAATCTATTATGATAAGTTTTAGCTCTTAGGTTTTCTAGATTTTTTGAGCATTTGTCTCTACATAATATAGTCTTTCTGGTAGCCTCTTCCTTTCCAAACATAAATTATAGAAACTATTTTCCATATCTCTTCTTGCAAAATTTCCTAGCTAACGTTACTTCTGACTATATACATTTATTGTAATAACTTATTCTATTCTTTCTTCTATATACTCTATATAAAATTTAATTCATGTCTGTCTGAGTATCACATAAGAATGACTGAACCAATTTCTATGAAAAACTTTGTATTATTTGCTTTGATAATTAAATATAAGTAACCACTTATATTTAATTATCAAAGCAAAACAATTGCTGGACTAAAATCAGGATATATTACAGCTACTAAGTAGTGGTAATGTAGTTCGATTTAATCTGGCAATTGTTTGGCTTTAATATAACTATCAGACTTAGATATTTAATGATCTGTTTTCTAATATAATTTGATTTTTTATAATTTTAATTTTATTCTCCTATACTTTATATACCTTTTAATATTTTGTATAATTATGTTTATTTCGAAACACAAAAATTTTATATTTAAGTTTCACAAAACCTTTTTACACATTTTTTAGCAATTTCTTGAGCAAACAAATGTTTTCAACCATGTTTAATGGCCTCCTTCAGGTTCTAAAGCATTGTCAGTTAACAAAAATTTGAGAGGTGTTATTGTTTATAGAAAGAAATCTTTAGAAAACACTAGAAATCTTTGCGAATTCCCTCAAACAAAACTGTATTAACAGCAGAGATGCCAACTCGCTCTCCACTGCTTGAAAATCACTCCTCGATAACCCTTTAAATAAAATAGACTAATCCATCCTCTCATCGAATTTGTCACAAACTTGTTAACATTTCTCTCAATTTATTTAGTTATTTAATCTTCTTATTTTATTCTTGTAGCAATAGTCATTTATTTTGATATCTATTCACACATCTATTTTGTTAATTTTTTCAATTTTATATGTCTTTTAATCTCCCATTAAAACAATGACATCATAGGAAATAGGAAACTTTCTATAAACAATAACACCTTTGAAATTTTTGTTAACTGACAATGCTTTAGAATCTGAAGAAGGCCATTAAACATGGCTGAAAACATTTGTTTGCTCAAGAAACTGCTAGAAAATGTGTAAAAAGGGTTTCGTGAAAAACTTATTTAAAGAAGTTATAGCTTCCCATGCATGGAATTTTATATTTACTATTCATCCTAGAATTAATCTTAGTCTAGATCTTAATCTAGACTAAGATCTTAATCTTCATCTAGAATTAATCTTACACAGACTGATCTTAAATTATATATTTTTTAATTAAATCTAAGTTCATTGTAGACCATTCAGATATTTGTACAAGGTTGTATGAGTGACCTCATTCACACAATCTTACACAAATCTAATAAAATCTAACTTTGCTTTTTCTAATTGAAACTTCAATGATATCTTAATTCCTTATCAATATACACAGTTCCTTTCTTATTCAAGTGTTGACACAGTTTTATTATATGTTTACATACATTTTATAATTTTTTTCTAATGTTTCAATACTAAAAGTGGTTATAAATGATAAATGAAAAATATTTACCGCAGGTCCTGGACTTCCAGGCATACCTGTTTCACCAGGAGGACCCTATAAAAGTTTTTGTTTTTGTAAGATTAATAAAAACAATAAAGAAAAAAATTAAAATAATCAAATCAAGTAACAAAATGCCTAAAATTCATATTCAGTTACATTCAAAATTATATCTATTTTAAATAATTATTATCATAGTTGTATAATAACTTATTAATTTCATATTAATTAAGGCTTACCGGTTCACCAGGTAAGCCAACTCTACCATCAAATCCTGGAAGACCTGTAGGACCGGCTGGCCCCGCTGGCCCAGGAGGTCCCGCCGGTCCCTGTTCTCCCTAAATATTAAAAGATAATATATCAATAATTAATTTGTGTGAGGACATAAATAATAATAAGCAAAAATTAAACTTACTTTAACTAAGACCAAATCGCCTGGTGAAAGTGTTATCCCCAAACTGGCAAGATCCTTAAAATCAAATATAAAAATATAATTTTACATCTGTAATTCATTAAGTATTATTTTCTGCTATATTTAATTTAATTTAATTTATAATAAAATTAATTCTGTACAGAAATAATTATTGGAATTCTTGCTTCATCATCAATTTCTCTTGATCTTTCAACAAATCTGATTGATGACATTTATAAATTGGATCATTTTTCACTGGTAGAATACCTGCAGAATTAATTATAGTTGTCCACAAATTTTCTTTGTTTTTTAATCGTTCATTAATTTTAAAAGTCGACAAACTCTTTTCTAATATTTTCCTGTCATCACATACATAGTTTATTTTCCATTAATTACATCTCACGACTAATCAGTTTATTGATAAAGGGTCATAATTTATAAATACTTTTTTAAGATTTAACTTTTATATATAGACTTTGTATGAAATTTTAAACATGTTTAAATATACACATGTGTATAAATTGTCATCACCTAGCTGTTATTCAAGTAATATATCAATGTGTTGATTACTAATTAATTAACTTTCATCATAAATACATAATTAATTAATGAAGTTATATTATTTAGTTTCTGTTTGATAACACACCATTGTTTAAGAATTTTCATCTATTAAATATTTTTAATTCTGTATCAATTCTATACAAATTATTTATTTAAATTTAATCAATGAATTATATTTATCAATAATTATACTCTAATAATTGTTAGTTTTGTTAGTAGGAGCCGTTTCAAAATTAGTGGAAGTTGGTATTAATCACAGTCAAGTTCCACCACAAGCAGACAGATCAGAACTGTCAACAAACTGACCTTAATACCGATGACTTCTGCAAAACCCAATGTTCCCCCATGAAGTCTACTGAGAGAACGTTTTGTACCCTAAAAAGGTTTGTAGTTTATAAACTATAGTATACTGGAAAAACTTCTTATATATTAAATTTAGTAAAATAATACATAAAATATAATTAAGAATATTACCTTTGTTGGTGTAAAGAGATCAATTCCACTTTCTCCCTGCAAAATTAAAGACAAAATCTTATTTAATGTATGAAATTACATTATAAGAACTTTACTTGTTTAATTAGTCATGATTCATCCATAGGGTTATAATAGAAGAATTTTATATTAATAATCTACTTTTTCTTTAATGTAGACAAAGTATCCATATTAAGAATATTTAAGAATGCTTAGTCTGTATCTACGTGTATAAAGGAATACAAAACAGCATCTAATCTTATCACAAGAATTAAAAATAATTACTATTAAATGTGAATATGAATTAATATTCACATTGATTACTGATAGTATTTCTGGTTTGTATACAATTCTAATCAGATTTATTATGCAAATTATTTCAAATTTCAATTAAAAAAAATTCTGATTTCTCACCAAATAATCCACTTACCTTATCACCTTTACTTCCTTTATCCCCCTGTAAAAATTTATAATAAAAAACATGAATGTAATAATATATTCATTATAAAAATTAATTATAAACTATTTCTGTTAAAAATTATTTCTCTTGACCGAACATCGAAATGCTTACCGGATCGCCTTTTGGTCCATCAATACCGATTGCTCCCTGGAAAAAAAAAAGGAAAAGTTGGAGGTATTTAAGATTAAATGTTCCGTGCACTCACACAAAAAAGAAAAAGAAAGGCAACGTAATGGGCTTACTCACCGGAAAACCCGGTTTACCCGGAGGTCCCATTGGTCCCTACGGTTAAGAAAAAAATTTATTTTTAATTATTGATGATATCTATAGCAATTTAATGAAGTGAAACAAGTTTAGCATTTCAAAACAAAGATAAAAATTTTGTAATTATACTTGTTTGATTTTTTTTATAAAAGAGGTTTAATTTTGAATGTTTCCTATTGAATGACTTTTCTCCCACAATGAATAAAGTATTCATTTGCCTTTTGACTTTTTAATCAATCTGATTAATTTAATACAATTAAAAAATAAATCTTACTTAATAATTCGTTTGAATTATATTGATGTAAGTATTGGATTTTGTTTTTAATTCTTATGTAATTGAATAAAAATAACATGTTTAGCAAACAAGTATAACATATATAACGCGAAGCATCTTTTTGTTTTTTTCAAACTAAAAGTCACATTTACATACAATAACACAAGGCCATTGTATACAAACACACAAGGACACGTGCTGCAATAAGCGCGCAAAAAAAAAAAATCACATTAACCATTCACGTTTAACGAATATTCCAATTATTTTCTATAGATAATCTATATAATATGATACTGTAAAATAGTTTCGTTTATCTTAAAAAAATTAAATTTTTTCTATGGCTAGAAAAACTCGACCAGATGCTCTTGGTTACAGAACTGACATGCGAAGATTTCAGTAGTAACTCACCGGAAGACCTTGATCGCCCACTTCTCCTTTTCTTCCTCGTTTCCCTCTTTTTCCGGGAGGTCCTGTAAACAGAAAACTTCACCCATTAATGCTTCTAAACTACTACAGATTCATAAATCACTAAAGTTGGCGCAAACACTCGAGACGACGTGACAATTTGTAAGTACCCTTTCCACTTATTCATAACTGGATAGTTTAATTTTCACTCGACAGATGGCGTTATAGCTGTAGCACCCCGTACACGGTAGGAAGTTGGAGAACAAGGTTGTTTCACCCGAACACGGGTTGTAGGTAGACGACTTCAAACGAAGCCGGCCGGGAATTATTAGTCACTCGATCCCATAGATGCATCGTGATCAGAGACGATAACGTATCTATCATCCCAACTAAACAATTAATCATCCGTCCCGTCGGGATACCACGTCTCGGTGGGAGTAGACGTCCTTCTCGCGAATTTTCTCATCCACGGAGCTACCTCTATAACTTTTGTTCTAAGTTTCAAAAGCGTACACCTGAGCAATATTTGCGGTTTAATTGCAACATAAAATGGAAGATGCTACACGAGCATTTGGGACTGTAATAATATATTACCGACTAAAAGCCATACTTTTGACCCTGAGCGTGCTATATTCCAGAAGGCGAGGAATTTTACCACACGGAAGAATTCAGCATTATGCAAATGAAATGTGAACTGTAATACACAGTTCACACTTCATTTTCATAGATGTTAAGAGCTGAACACTTTAATTACATATCTCTTCTTTGTAAGTTAAACGTAGCAATTTAATTCTGAGCACAGACTAAACAAGACGATCCATAGTTTGAGTTACGACATTAAAACATTTATCTGAAATTGTGTAAAACACGCAATGCATTTTTAATTTCGTCAAGTGTTTATTCAGTTAATCTACTGTAGAAATTTTCTTCGGTGGGTTAACTTAACCGACAGCTAACAAAATAACACGGATAGAAATTCTAGGAAGGATTTATTCGCTGAGGATCTAATTCTAAGAAAAGGTGGATGCTAATTGCGGGCGTGGCAAATAATTTCAAGCTAACCTAAATCATATTAACCAATGTGAGGATAAACAGACCGACTAAATTATAATTTCCCATGTAAAATAAGTTGCGGGTTACTGTAAGAAACCATCCACGAGAAGCTCTTAACAAGTAATTAACATACATTGTAAATAGTCTAATCATTATTTACCTGGAGGCTTATAACTTACGTTATCTCAAAAATTCAAATATAAAAGAATTATTTTACTGGTGTATCTCGCTTAACAGCGCTTCGCTAATAATGGCGTTTTTTTTTTAAATACTGTATATTCCTGTTTATTTTTGATGCTTGCCTTGCTCTTAAGAAGATTTTCGGAAGTTTTATCTATTTATTATTTTTCTTTTGCATCGGTTTTCTATGCTTATTGAGCACTTAATAAATCTGTATATCTGTATATACTGTATATATATATTAAAAGCAAAACGTTCCGTCACTGCCGCACCCGAATGACATAAATTTAAAAATTAATTTGATTTACAATTTGAAAATTTCAAAACTTTTGAACGGTTTTTTAAAAAAACATTTTAATTTTCGATTGACTTGATTTTAGTTTTAGTTTTGGTGTAAAGNGGTCCAAATAAATGAAAATCTGAGGGGGCTAAATCTGGACTAAACAGATTTTTTTTTTATATGGACTCAGTGAATGCTATTTTCTTTTCTTCACTCAGACATCAGCTGTTCAAAGGTTTAATAGTGTAGCCAGAATACTCTTGCTTCAGGCCATTCACTTTTTGTAATGAAGAACAATACCAAAAAATTATTATTAATAAAAAGGCATTACTTTTTGATTTTCTATTGTATTTAAGAATACCCAGTTAATCTGCTTAATACATTCCAGAAAATCACTGCACTAATTGAATCCAAACTAATCAGAAAACATATTTAATAAAAGAAAAATTTGTTTGAAAAGGATTTTTTCACTCAAAAAGTAATTTAAACTGACTTAATAAAATAATACTATTCATAAAAACCTACAAGAGGATAAAAAAAAAGTCATTAAATCTAAACTTCTATTATTTTATTTTGTAACTAAATTTTAAAAAATGTTTTCTGTTAAAAGAGAAAAAATTATCTGATGTTATTTGGACTCATCTCCCTTCTTTTTTGTTTGCAGCTCTCAGTCACACCAAACCATATTTTCTAACACACTTGAGTTAATGTTACATTATTTGTTTGGATTATTATTCAAAAGCTGAACTCTTTCAAATATACATGAAAAAATCCAAATTGTATTGAACTAAAAGAAAACAAGTAGGCAATGGGGGGGTGAATGGCTGGACTAAGTGCTGCTAACCATTTTTCCAAATTTTTCTTAATCTAAATTGGCAGCATTGTAAGGTACAGTTTTTTTTTTTTTTTGCTTTAAAGTTTTCAATAACTAGATAAGTTTTTGCATGTAAATATGAATTTCTCTGTATTTTTCTAAAAGGTTTTAAAATTTGTTTTAGTAGAAGTTACATAAGACAGTTAATAATGAATTTAAAATGTTTTGATCCACTTTTTATCATTTACTTACATTTATATCAAATTTTGTTAAAATTTTTTTAAAACCCATTATAAATTTTCTTATATAGCCTATATTATGCTAGCCATGATGCATCACACTGAATCATTGTGCATTAACTGAATCTTCTAGTATAGTATAGTATATATTGTAAATCTCACTATAGCAAATCCCACACTAAATAAAGTTACTAAAAGATATTCCTATATGTTTCAATTTGAAATTTAAATTAGTGAATATTTAAAAGCTGAATTAAGTAAATTGTAAATGTATCTTTAGAAGACTGAGTTGGAAAATGTAGAGTTGACTTATTTATATTTATATCCAAACTCTATGGACCTTTTTTATTTATGCTATATTTAAATTAATAGAATAAGCAATAGGATATTTTTATTAATTTGCTAATTTTCTGATAACTAACTTGTCTCATTTTCTCTGATCATTTCTTAACAGAAACACATATCCAATGTAATAAGTATATAATACATATAAGCCAAATCAAATTCTATAGTTAATCAAGGACATAAATTTTCAGATTACATATTTAATTTAATTAAAAATCTTAATTGAGTATAAAAATACATAATTAGGCCATCATTTTGTGCTAAGATTAATAATTAGAATTAATTTTGAAATTCAGTTTAATCATTTAAAAAATTAAGATGAAAAGACTGGCACAGAATAGAGAATGTAATAAGAATAAACAATATAATTTATATTTTGCTGTCAACTTTTCTGTACTGAATAATAATAATGATAAAATAAAATAAATTAAACAAAAATATATAATAATATTCAATAATAAGTCTCTCATTTTAAATAATTTATAGTACTTTCAGGCTTTCTCAGATAGACCTGATAAAATGAGGATGCTTAAAAATACTAGGGATTATTTATAGTTTTTTGTATTCCAATACAGCAAAAACTAGTGTAAGTGTCATATAATAATATCTATGAAGTAGTATCCAAAAGTTCTGGAACTGGATCCATAAGTCTAAAAGTTATTAGTGGTACAATACTGAAATATATTCTCTTTCAAAATAAGTCTCCTTGTAATAATATACATCTGCCAGCAATGTAAAAGTCATGGTAGCACTTCTGGAATCCTTTCTTTGAGATGTCCTTCGATTCAACCAGCATTACCCTCTTCACTTCACCTGCACTCAAAAATCAATAACCCTGAAGTCAATGTGCCAGCTCAGGAAACGAGTGGTATAATCAAAGTAACCTTCAAAATGTTTTCATCAACAAATTGTTTCAACAGTCTTTCCTCTGTAACAAAAAAGAACTAAAGATAGTACCTCCAATACCGTTTTTGGGCCCTATATTGCTAAAAAATAACACGCCTTTTAGAAAGCATGGCTTTACTTTGCCCATAACCCCACAACCAACACTAAGAAGAGTGTTATGCAATGATAGAGATACTCTTACGTTAAATGAAAAATCAGAGGTCTACAAAATTCCGTTAAAGGTCCAAATAAATGAAAATCTGAGGGGGCTAAATCTGGACTAAACAGAGGATGTTGCAGGACCTCCCAATTCTGCTGTGTCAACCATAGTTTGGTTTTATTTGATGTGTGAAATATAGTGCAGATTTAGCCCCCTCAGATTTTCATTTATTTAGACCTTTAAAGAAATTTTTGGCAGGGAAACGCTTTGCAGATCAGGAGGAATTGGAAGACACCATCAGGACTACATCAAGCAACTTGACAAGCAACAGTACTGTGAAGAGATGTTCAAACTAGTGTCACGCTGGGATAAATGTCTCAACGTTTATGGTGATTATGTTGAGAAATAAACAAAAGTATGTAGTTTTTGTGGAATATATTAAATATTTTCTTTAATTATAAATGTTAGTGTAATTTTGGCCTGTACCTTTAATATTAGATTTCCCTCATATAAAGAAAAAGAGAAAACCTAGTCATCCTAGGATTAGATGAATTAACTGCATACAAAATATTGCAGAATTATAGATGTTTAGAGAACTTTTTTACAGCAGTGAACAACAAAGCACACAGGAGATCAATTGTATCTGGAAGACTCAATTTGTGATGAGTGAATGAGAGAGAGAAAGAGAAACCATTTTAATTTTATTAAAAATTAAAATATTCAAATTTAATTTTTGGGCTGCAATTTGAAAAAAATTGTAGACCTATAAATTTCCACTGTTGTCCATCTGTTTGTCCTTAATCTCAATAGATAGATAGATGAAAGTCAAGTCAAGATATGGGAAACTTAGGGTCAGGAGGCCCCAATTAACTATATATGAACTTACGGTATAGACCGAAAGTCACTGATTTGAATTCAAAAAATTCTCCAGAATGGAGTTACATAGATGACTGGCATGACTATTGTTGTCAGGAAAAGTATGATATACAGGGACAAGACACTACTAATTTGAAGTGGAGAGCATGTATTTTAAATTACATAAATTAAAAATGGTTAAAAATTGCAGCCTAGCATTGTGATGATGTCACAATAATTTTTGCTTGTTTGTA